AATAGTTAATTTGATACTAATATCGATATATTTTTGTCAAATTTTTATGATATTTTCAAACATATATTTTATTCAAAAATAAAAACATCATCGTTTTCTCAAAATCAAATAAAACAATATTATAACATCGACTAAGATAAAGAATAAAATAAAATATTAAAATCACGATGTATCTCGTTGCATTGCACGAATACGTTTCTAGTATAAGATTAAAATTGAGATGCATCCGGTATTTCATAAAATGAATTATGGAAATGTTAAAAAAATTACACCCTGCCCTCACGCGCCTTTCAGAGCGTGGGATCAGTGAAAGAAAATGATCGTCAAGAAGTCGTTGAATAATCGAATTGGTCTTCTTTCCCCTTTTTCTCTCTATCCGGGTGTTCTACATCGACGGGCCGGCGGCACTGTCAAGAACCCTAGTTCCCTCCACCCTTCTCCATGCTTTAACCTTATATGTAAACACACAATTCAACGTTTCAGATCGATTTTGTATATACAAACTCTATATATAGTGCCGGTGGTGGTGTTTCGGGGATTTTTGCAACAAAAAGAGAAAAATTAAAACAAAAATGCTCGAAAACCCTACCGATTCATCATCCACGGCCAACATTGCCACCGTCAAACGCTATGCTCCGCCTAATCAAAGGTACGCGTCTTCTCTCTGTGTACATGGAATTTTGGGGTGAATTGATTTGGTTGATTTTATGACACAAATCGAGGTTCTATGTTTTGTTTTATGTATATGAAGGACTCGGTCTCTCGGAAGGAGGAAGTCGGGAGGAGGTAAATCCCTGTCGCCAAAGATTTTACTTGTTTATTACGGTTAAATCATGATGGGAGAAGTTAAATTTACTTGCACAGATACATATTTAGGGTTTGACATATGTAATTTAGGGGGGTTTCAGCTCAATTGATCATCGTGTTAGTTCTAGATATGGTTGAAAGCATGCATCTTTTGATTTCTAAACTTTCACACCATGTCCATCCGTGATCTAAGGCTCATTTGTTGCCAAACTCGAAGGCAACAAATGAGCCTTAGATCACGGATGGACATGGTGTGAAAGTTTACAAATCAAAAGATGCATGCTTTCAACCATACCTAGAACTAACACGATGATCAATTGAGCTGAAAACCCCCTAAATTACATATGTCTTCGAGTTTTAACTACAAAGGTAACAAATGAACCTCGGATCCGCGGAATAGACATGGTGTGGAAGTTTATGTTTTCTACAAATCAAAAGAAATGTACTTGCAAACAAATCGCGAACTAAACACGATGATCAATTCAGCCGGGAAAAACCTAATAGCTAGCAAAATTACAAATGTCAAACCGTAGGAAGGTATAAAATGTGGAGATAGTTCACAAGCAATGTCAGGACTTTAGCAACGAATTCTTAATCTTTGTAGAGATATTCTGGTAGTCCATCACCATTTAAGGAAAATATGATTTCAGAGGTGCCTGGTCACTTATGTGGCAGTGTTGTTGGCAGATGTAGCACCTGCCGACATAGGATCAACTTTGTATAGGATAATAAGCTTCTAGATTGGTACTCTGTGCAGCCATCTTTTAAGTTATGAGCATGTGTAAAGGCTTAAAATGGAAGTTGGGCAATATTGATAAGAAGTACACATTTTATTCTCCTAAAAGTCTTTCAGGGTGCGTTTTGTACACGGGACAGGACAATACAAAACTTGTTGTCCCATGTTTGGTGGGACATTAGAGTGGGTAGGACACAACCTAAGTGGGACAAATATGCATTTTTTCTGTCTCTCCATGATAGGTGGAACAAAAATCATGGATCTGGGACAGACAAATAAATTACTAAACTAGCCATTTCAAATTAAAACCGTAAAACCTTCTATAGTTCTTTCACCCGCCTATCTCACTCTCGTCTGTCCAGTCTTGTTCTGTCAGTCTAGTCCTATCCACGTACCAATATGACCCTCATAGATGGATGATATCCTTGTTGAAATTTGTCTGTGTGATCTTAGAACTTGAGTTATGGAGACAATCTTATGTTAATGCTACTGTGTTCTGGATGGTATATGTATGGTTTGTATGGCTTATTAGTTCAGCAAGTGGCTTATCTGGCCAGCCCATGAGGGAGAATTCTATCCATTCAGCCAACAATTTTCCCTCAACACCCTTGGAAGAAAAAGATACAGTCTCACTTTTTCCATTTCACTGTCGTCCTCACAACTCTTCCTCCATTGATCTCCTCCATTCGTAGATTTTTGCTGTAAAAAATGTATTTTAATTGGTATTTGTTGAGGAACACGGTATTTGTCACTTAATCTGAAGGGTAAAATAGTCAATTATGTCATTCAGACCGTTTATTCTAACACAACCGAACGACAATTTAGCCTAATCCATACAGACAGCTTAATTTGTACAACGCTTTATGAAAAAACAACCGAACAAGCCCCTAAGTACATCATAGGAACAGGGAACCATAGCAAAAGGTCTACATCATGAGATTAAACATGATTAGTACTGTGTCAGTATTTTAGGTTAGACCTTCTTAAACAAGAAAATGGTTCGAGAGTCCTACGATGCTGAGAGGGACCACTGTTGAAGCACAAATCTTTATTTCTTCAAACATTTAATCATCAAATGTGGCTATAAACTGATTTGTAGTGTACATGATACAAAAAATACAAATGGTATATTCTTCATTAGGATTTATGTAGTGAATGATGGTGTTTGTTGGTCCTAACAGCCTCTTCATACACTCTTCATCTCAACAAGTGATAAGTGACACTGATGATGTGTTTGTTTTTCATCTCCATAAATTCTTAGACTAGACATATTCTCCAAGTTTAATTTTAATGGACTTGCTGAATTGTTGAAAAAACCGAGAAAGTATGTTTATCAGTATGATTAATAATAATTGAAGGGTTAAATTAAGTTTGAGAAGTATTACAAGCAACTAATTATATTAATTTTGAATTTGAAAATGGCATTTCTTTTACCATCAAGTATTTCGGCATGAATGCAGCAATAGAGATTCAAAATCAGTTGATATAGTATAAAATGTATTCAGAAGGTTAATATGGTCAAACAAAAAGCATGTATCCAGGTTTCTATTCCAATTGACTAATTGATAATAACACTATAAGAGATCTTCATAAGCTGATTGGTTAACATTTGCAGATAGATTGGAACGGGCAAGTAGTTACGGGAATGATGGAGATAAAAATCAAGTTGCTGCCTTAAGAAACGTTCCTATCCTGGATCATGCAGATCCACCACGTTTAATTGCCTTGCAAGGATGCTGTAGCAGTGAAGCTTATCAACTTCTGAACAATCGTATGTGTTTTGATTACTTGTTATTTTATACCCCCTCTATCCTGTGATCATTGAAACACTTCCTCTCCCAACATGTACCATGAAAATTGCGATATCTCCTTATTGGAGGTTTGCAATTTGTAATTATGTATTTGCCCGGTAGGGGCAGGTTCTGGTTTTGGGACCAACCATTCATGTTTCATTCATGATGAATGTTGTGAACTTGTGATAGATATTCATCATGAAATTTATTCATAATGAATATATATGATATTCAAGATGAATAATATTAATGATTATTCACTATGCATAATACGTGAAATAGTTGGTTATCAGGTTCTCAAAATATTTATGGTTCCCATTTGAACTTTCCCTTTCCGTATATATCATTACAAACAGATGGCTGGAATCAATCTGGTCCCAGAAGATTCGTCAATATTGTCTTTATTGAAGGATATTTTCGAATTTTGACAATGGTTTTCATGATCTATTTAATGATGCTGTAGTAATATAACTACATGTATTCTGTAATGCAGGTTGGGCAGCTGCTATGACTGCATATGAAAATCCCTCAACTGATTTTGCTGGTAAGTGAGAAGAGTTTAATTTCTGATACATGATTTCCACCTTTCTAATCTTCCCTATTTAATACTATTAAACGTTACTTTGTGTTCTCCAAACCTTTATTACGAAGGAAATGAAAGGAAAGAGAGGGAAAGGGGTGGAAGTAAAAAAAAAACTCGTGTTCTCGAAACTTTTTTTGGAGAGAAAGCAAAGTAAACAGAATGAAAATAATGTTGAGTTTCTATTCAAAACTTTCCTCCCCGATGTTGGAGGAAAGGGAAGGAAAGGAAAGAAACTAAAACCCCTTAAAAAGATTATTAAAATTACCAAACTATCCTACCTTTCATTATAAAGGATAAAATTTAAAGGGTATTTTTGTAAAAATGATATATTTCCTTTCCTTTCTCTCCTGTTTGAGAACAATAAAAATTATTTTCTTTTCTTTCCTTCTCGAGAACAGAGACAAAAAAATTCCTATTTGGATGAATGGATGCAATGAATATGCTTGGTATCTTTGTCCAACATTATTTGTTGTTGCAATTTTTTCTTTTTTGCCAAAGGGTCAATGGCCAACGACATATGAGTTAACGGTGGATCCCAACCTTCTTTGAGGTCAAGAGTAACCTTGTGTTTGTTTTACCATATATAAATATTTAAAAGAAATGCAGTATTATAGCTTTCTATATTTTACTACTTTTTTTTGCATTTTCCACCACCTCTTAATGAGATTTTGTTGTTTCTTTTTTCTGTAAATCTCTACCCTCTATTTCATGATGCTACTGTAAAACTCCAAATTCGAATGCTTTGAAACATCTTGGCTGCAAACTGTGATATTCAAATGAAACTTGATTTGCTAGTCAACTAGCTTAAACGAGCCCTTGTTCGTTTTGGTTGTTTGACATTTTCATTTTATGGATCCTATCAGACCATGTAACAAGAGAAATGCGGTAATGGGCCCATTTAGTTGATGCGAGGAAAAATGACAATAAAAACTGATCCGGTATTTCCCACTTGAAAGTAGAGGTAGGGTCTGGGGCAAGCTGTACACAGCCTGTCCTCTTATCCCAAATAGATATGCACGAAAAAGCCCAAGCCCGAAACCGGGCAATGGCCTAGCCTGAAAAAGCCTGGGCATAGTGAACCTTAAGCCTGGTCCTGGCCAGGCCTCAAAGCCCGACCTTAAAAAGCCTGGAAAATCCAGAAAAAGACCCGATTGGGCCCTTTTTCAACCCAAAGCCGAGCCTAGTCTAAACAAGCCTGAGTCTTTTTCTGCTCACTGAAAATGGTCTAGGAAGGCCCGAGTCTTGTGCATCTCTAATCCCAAAGAGTAGATTGATTGGTTCCTTGAACTAGAAATATTGTACAAATCGAAGCTTACCTTTTCTTTTTCTCTCTTGTGTTTTACAGAGCGGCCTGTTATGTATTCAGGAAATACGGCATCAGCATGGGGACAATTCAGACTTCCTCATCAGGTTAAATTTACAAGTGTTCGTTGTTGTTCTTTATTTCTCCCTCTCTAAACCATTATTTTCATTTGAAACTTTTTCAGATGATTTCTCCGACATCGGGAGTTGGACCTTCAGGCCCTCAGATTGATTTCTTAAGCGAACTCAGGCGAGCATTGCGAAACTCAAATCCCAGTTCCGACAAGTAACTATGAACTCGAATCCTATCGTTTTCGGACATGTTGATCAGTCACTGTTGTATGTGTTCTTAACTTTAATTTCTGCTGAATTTTATGCCAAGGATTTATTTGTGCTGCTTTTGCTTGTTTTAAATGCATTTGTGCATAAATTTTATGATACTTTATATAGTTTATACTGGTAAAATTTCCATAAGATCTAAGAACTCCAAACCAATGGTACTTTTTTGGGCCTAGGCCGGGCCTTCCAAACCCGTTGTCAGTGAGCAAGAAAAAGACCTCGGCTTTCCCCCTGTTTTGTGGTTGAAAGAGCGGCCAATAGGGATTTTTTAAGCCATGCTTGGGGATATTTGATTGGTTTTCCATTAAGTCGTGTATGGATAAAGCTATGTGTGGATTAATCTATTTGTATAATTGAGAAGGTTTTTGTTTTGGAGGGTTTTTCGTAGATGGAAGGAGTATTCTTTTTTTAATTAGGAGGGGTAGGTTTTGAAAAAACTTGGCTTTCTGCATATAGCCCCTTCTAGAAGCTTACCAAATAAGTCACTTTCTTTATCATTAAGCCACTACCAAACTGTATAGTTCACCAAATAAATTGTGAGCCCCGTTAAGCTGTTAATCGGCTTTTTTCATGCCACTAAAATTTTGGCTTGACCGGGCTTTGGGGCCTGGTCTGGACCAGGCTTTGGGATCACTAGACCGCGGGATACCTCACATTGTGAAGAAGCCCTCACATAACCAACCCCATTTTTTAGAATAAGCTACTCATTTTTTGCTCGTGGGTCCCACTTCTTTTCTTTTGGGGGGGAGGGGGGAATAGCAAAAAGCTTAGGTGAAAGAGCCCATTGTGGATGCTAATGAAAACATGAAACCACCAAAGAAGTGGTAATGAAGGTGAATGAAGGCTATGAGATATATATAAACATTGTGCTTACAGCATCAAGAACTAAAAAACTTGTACGTGGATGACGCTGTGCGATTCTCGATTTAGGATGGTTTCTTGTTCTACTTTTGCTGGGAATCAAGCTGGTCACGGCCTCACAGGTTACAAACTTTATCAATCTGTCCAAACGGGAATTATTCCTTGAGCAGCTAGACGCTTTTCGACCCAGAATACGAGTAGTTTTGCTGTGACTTTTTTCTCATCTACGAGAAAAGGTTCGACATTGCTTGCGGTTGACCCATAGGACGATAGCGAGAACCCTTTCGGACCTGTTGGAATGAAGATAGGTATCAAGTGGTGGTCATGAATCTGTCGATGAAAGAACGGAAAACTCACCAGTGATGTTACCATCTGGGAAGAATGCCCAGAATGAATAAGGGGTACCCTTCTTCCAGAAGGAGCCTTCTAGCTGTATATAATAAACACATGGAGAATATGAGTATAAAGTAGAGGCAGCTTGGAGGCTATGTTTAGCAAACTAGCAGTTAATAAACTAGTCATGTTTGGTAAAAACTAGTCATGTTTGGTAAAAACTAGCTGAGTAGCAGAGAAAATATAAGAAGCATTTATAAAATATAAGGGGCATAATTGGAAAAAAAGGAAAAAAACCACGCTTGAGTATTGAGCTTAGGCTATGCTTGGCAAACTAGCTTATATATCAGTTGTTGGTTTGATAAACTAATCACGTTTGGTAAAACTAACCGATAAGTTAGATGACGCAAAATGACCTAAAAGGAAAAAGGAAAAAGGAAACCTGATAAGCTATCTGAAGTAGCTTTTTAAAAAAGCTAGCTTATGGCTTACCAAATGGGGTTTTCTCAATCAGCTCAAAATATAAGCTAGTTTATGGTTGCCAAACAAGACCTTAGTCAGTTTGGGCTTGACCTGTGGCTTGCCAAGTTCAGAATAGCCAATCTTGAACTTGGCTTTGGCTCAGTTTCTACAACTTTCCTACTTCAAATGAAATTTGGTTTAAACCCTTAAACTTGCAACTGTACCTTTGTAAAACCGCAACTAGAAGTCTTGTGGGTATAAAGCTCGGTAGATTCGGCAAATTTTTAGCTTGTGGAGCTATCCAGTTCCAATCCCAAGCCATACTAGGCTTGAGAATGATTAGACGAGTTAGGTCGGGCTTGCCAAGTTTTTAACGAGCCGGTTCGTCTAGCCTATATCACTTCTTCGTGGTATATGTTCATATCAAGCAATCAAAGATAACAAATTGAACCGATAACCTACTTCAAAGCTAGTCCACGGAGACCCTCCGTGTCAACAAAGGGAATTGGGGACCCCTTGGCATAGCCTGGGTTCGTTCCTTGGTCAAATTCGAGTCCCTTGAGGCCAGTGGAGGTTTTTCCTACTATTAACTGGCTACGTCCAAGAGGCGTATCGGATGTGATTCAAGTTAATTACTTTGATGATCATCCTCTAGATATCCTTCATTTTGATGGAAGTATTTGTATGTTGATTAGATAAGATGACGGACTGACAAACCTTGTTATCCTCGAAAAACAACTGGAGTTGAGAGATATCTTGTTGGGTTTCTAGAATTGATCTTAGTGAAGGAATCACATCCTCCTCCATCATCTCCGGCAATGACTTAGCCGGAGCTTTTGCTGCTGGTTTTGGCTTCGGCTTGGCCGGAGCAGCAACCTCTTCTTTCGCAGCAGGCGCAGAGGGTTCTCCCTCTTTTTCCTCTTTCGTTTCAGCAGCAACTAAATTCAACAGGAGTAGAGTAGAGGATAAGAAGAAAAAGCGTGCAAAATTCACGAAATAAACCCTAAATGCAGAAACTGCTCTGAATACCAGTGAATCAGCAGCAACTGAGTTCAAAGTAAGATACGAACAATAAATTGAGTAAAATTCACGAACTAAACCCTAAATATCAGGAACTGGTATGAATACCAGTAGAAGCAGAGGACGATTCCTGGACTGCATAGCAGACAGCGTTCCGATGCGAACCGACATTTTTAGTTGCAATCTGCACCAAAAATTGATCAACAATTGAACAACAATAACTAATTAACTCCCATTGCAGAATAGGAATCGTACCAGAGGGAGAGAAGAAGAAGTCGATTTAGGATCACGAGAAGAGTGTGAAGAAGATGAAAAATTCAAATTTGGTAATGTAATGAATCCTCCGGTGGTTGGCATTCTTATGGATGATGATGATGATACATACAATTTCATCATGATGGTTGTCTGTAAAATTGTTAGGGTTGGAATGAGGGATGAAGAGAAGGAAGTGGGGGTAAGTTCGTTAATGACATCCACAGAGTTTGGAGGATTTGGTACCACTGAGTTTTGATTCAGTTCCCCCCTCTTTGTTTGTTTCTGTATCTTCATAATCCTGGCTTTTTTAGGGTAAAATGGTTTTTATTTGTTTATATATAATAATTAAATGAAGCTTCACTATCTATATCTATTTTATATTATAAAGTAATTGACAAAAAATTTAAACATTATTTTTTATGTATGAAATATTGTTTATTGATACATATTATTTAAAATTCAAGATTACAAATAAATTATGTATGAGTACAACTTATTAAACCTTTATTTTTAAATTAAATCGATTTATTATTAAAATTAAATTAAATTATAATATTTTAAATATAGAATAATCGTTGAGTTTAATAAAATATTTAATTATTATCTTTATAAAAAAATATTATTAATTCAAAAATAAATCGATTTGTTATTGAACTAATTGAATTCTTAAGTATTATTTTTATAAAAAATTATATTACTAAATAAAAAATAAAACGATTTATTATTAAACCTAAATTAAATTATAATCAAAGAAATTATACAAAAAACGAGAACTTTTAAATAATTAATTTGATACGATAATATCGATATTTTTTTTTCAAAATTTTAATTACAGTATCTTCAAAAATATATTTTATTTAAAATAAAGAAGTAAAACTCAAATTCTACGTTCAACTTCAACATTCTTATTTTATTCTAAATTTAATTTAAATATTCAATGTATTTAATTTTATTTAAAGTAGAAAGTAATTTTGTTCTAGAAATTTTAAATTTTGTTTATTTATTTATTTATTTTTTAAATTAGAAAATCTATTAAAGATACTGATAATAACTCATTTTTATAATTTTGTTGAGGAGCTTTTTGAAAGATTTTTCTTTGAATTGTTTCAACAAGTCTAGATGGAGATCAAAACTATGACATAATTAGACTAATTTTTCAGTAAATGGATTGAACTTGTTGCATCTAAAGACTACAATTTGTTTTATGTATATCTAAACTAATTCATTTCGTCTCATTAGTTTGAATTTGGACTCCAAAGGTCAAAAATATCTAGAGATCCTATATTCAAATCCAAGGGGAAATAAAAATCCTCTTGTGGCCACGGATGTTCGAATGTGGTGACTCCGAACCATCCGCAAAGCATGTAATCGTCTTGATATTAGTCGGTTCGCATAGCATGTTGTATATCATGGTTAATAAAAAACTTGATTCATTTTTACAATGTAAAAGTTAAATCGTTGAACACAACAATTTTCAAAGTTACAATCAAATTATCTTGATTCGACTAGTTTTGTTTTTTTTTACAAAGGTTCATTTCATGTGTGCATTCAATCGGGGGAATGAGGAGAGATGAGAGAGAGTGTGTTCTTTATACACGATCATCGACGCACATCATCTTACTGATGATTTCTAGATCTTAGCCATCGGTTAGGGAGGGGAACATGATGTTAAACCTTCACCGATTCGTAGATTGTGGTGGATCATTAATAATGTGAATGCTTTGTAGCTCAACACCATCGTTCCCAACACCGCTTGAACCACCACCACCACCACCGTCAGGGCCATCTTGGCTAGAACCATTGGTCGTGACGTTTAGAGCCTTCTTTCTTTTGGCTTTCTGAGCCCAACTAGTAAGACTTGTTTGTATACGCTCTTCAAATATCGACTTCTTGAAATGACTTCCCATCTACATATCACACGACTACTGTGTCAATTTCTTGGCGTGAACTCAAAATTACGGTTTTTGACCTTAGAAGTCAACGATGCGGGATAGGAACTTGAAAAAACGAAACAAATTACCTGTGTGACAAGCGCGTAAAGCGGTAGAGTACTGTAACTACACAAAACTTGAATAAACACCCTAAAACAAAGAAAGAAAACAACATTTTTACGATATAAGTTAATATTTTAATCATAGCACGTAATATTTATATGTTGGACCATGTTTGCTTTTCTTGGCGTACAAGAAAAACCAAACGGGAACTAAACAACGGTACAATAATTTAACTGTCAAGAAGGTCCTCAATGACACTTTACCCAATAACGAGTCTCGGAATCATGTAACGCAATTTTCCCATTATGCACGAGTCGAGGCCAAATTGAACCTATTGACGAAAACCGTTAGATGTCAGTTTCTTTCTATTTATAAGTACTACTTTTGCGTGGAAGCGTTTTCAGATAAACTTACCAATATCCAGAAGAAAAACGCGATCTCAAAAGCGTTTTGGAAGAGGATAAAATGTATTAGTAGAAGAATGATCCTTGGCCGACGAAACCAAAAGTGGTCGTCCGAAGGTTTTACCGCCACTTCGCCTTCTATGGCTACGTGCTTCTCCGCAACTTCATGAGCCAATTGAATGATTATGTGTTCAAGTTTCGTTCCCACGAAAAATAGCAACTAAGAAAATCATGAGATTTACGTTTATCACAATGTTTTGAGTTATTTCACACGTTAAATAGTGTTCGAGTAAACCTTAATACAGTTGTATCACTTTTCAACCGTGTATTGTGTGCAGGAATATATATTCCTTAAGGGTGTGATAGGTACAATGGGCATGATATGACATGACAGAACAAAAACCTATTCCACGTTTGGCGTGACATTAGACTGGGACTGAATAGGACAAAAATGCATTTTTCTGTCCTTCAAAATAGCTAGGTGGAACATGACAAAAATCAGAGAGATGAAGCAAGATTGGTAAATTACTCATGTCAAATCAAAACCCTATGAGTTTCTATAATTCTTTCACCCGTATACCTCACTCTCACTTGTTAAGTCGAGTCCCGTCCGTATACCAAATGCACCCTAAGAGGATTGATTTGTGAGTATATGATGTAGATTTTTAGGTGGATAACTTACGATTAAGGGAATAAAAGCTATCCAGAAATACGTATGCCAACCTGCGCAAAACCAAGAAATGAGAATCGTATTTCTCATCAGTATGGACAAGTATCTAAGACTCGATGTTAAATCAGTACTCTTATATAGCCGATGCACTTTATCTATAGCTATTCTCATCAAATCGAGGGTATATTAAGTTAACCAGACCAAACAAACTCAATATGTCCCGATGACAGAGCTCTTTAGTTAATCAAGAAAATTAAAACGACAAAATTAGCGTAAATGGATGTATCAGATTTTTAGCTTATGCATATAGAGTCCCAACGAAATACAAACCACGTGAAGGGACCTCATGGTGTGCTGACACATGTGATAATACACGTGAAGGGACCTCGTGGTGTGCTGACGACGGGTCCTGCCACCTAGGTGGCACCAAAGGTCGTCTGCGTCTCTGAATTAGCATCACATGTGACAGATTATTGTACCACATCAAGAACACCCTTATCATATGTTAGAATACACATGAGGGGGCCTATTGGAGTACGGGAACCTAGGTCGCGACAGGTCATTCACGTCTCTAATTTAGTATCACGCCATTCACGTCATTCACGTCTCTAATTTAGTATCACATGTGTATCATATGTGATGGAATATAATATCACATATGATTGACTATTGTAAAAAGGTGTTGTTGTGTACTCATTAACTAAGGAAAGTATTGCATACCGTATATATTCAGCAACAAGAATACGATCACAAATATCCACAAGTACCAACTACAACCGATAAAACCTTAAATTAGCAATTGTCGAAAACACTTTGCATGCTAAAATAGATACTTTTAGAACAAATAGCAAGAAAATAACATATTTATTTTTTTGTTACTATTTTGGTTAACGTACCTTCAAAATTTTCTTTTTGATACCTAAAATTTGACATATTAAACATAAAATTACTTTTTCTATTATTAACCTGGATATCCAACCCGCTATGCGAGCCGACTAATCCTAGGACGACCACCTGTTTTACAGATAGTCCGGAGTCACCGCATCTGAACCTCCTGATACTTTTAACCTTTGGAGCCAAGCTCAAACCAATCAGGAACCACCTTTGTGGTTATAAAATTACTTTTTTTTACATCATGACTTGGAAATGCTCGTTAAGATCCGGATATGTTAACGTGACATCAATATTTTTTAAATGTCAACTAAGCAAAAAACACAGCAAGTCATTGAACATTTTTTTTTTTTTTGAAAAAATTGTAAAATTTGTAATAGCATAAGCACCTCGTTAGAAAAACAATACAAATTTAACAACCCTTTAAAAAGAAAAACTCAATGACATGGATTTTTTTGGCGTAGTTATCATTTAATATACATACATATGTAGAGAGACAATGTCTCATTTTACAAACTCAATAATACGTACAAACTTACAACCAGTTTTCATGTATTGTTTCATATAAGAAACAAAACTTGTAACAAATGCAATGTTTATACAGTTTAGTTTCATACATGAAACAGTCAGTATGTTTTTTTCCATGCACAAAACAATCCTGGTGTTTCATATACGAACAACACTATATAGACACTGCATTTTCATACTGTTGTTTCATATGTGAAACAACAAATGAAAACTTGTTTCAAGTCTGTACAATTTATTAGGTTTGTAAATGATTATGCTCTCTCTCTCTCACTACACGTGAAACTTCTCGCCTTCTCGCATGATCCTTCCCCTCTCTCTATGTATATCAAACATGCACGTCAAATCAATGAAGCTCGATCCTAGTCAATATTTACAAACGCAGCAAATAAAATAAGTATTTAAATGTCATGAAAGTAGATTCTACTTTCATAAAGTTTGACCTACCTTTTAACATCAATGTTTGCCAAGAAAAGTTGGACAACAACAATAACTATGACAAAAGTATCACAATAGGAAAAAGAACCATTTATTTCAATCTTTTTATTGTGTAGGTTTAAATTTCCAAAATTTCACTTACCTGATACCGACGACTTTCTTGAAATCGTCTTCGAGGGCCCGTACCATATACTTGTGAAAATTAAACTTCGGGTTTCCCCTGCAATGTGTCTACGGAAACACGATAACTGTTGGTGAAACTTTGAAAAAGATAACAGAAAAACAATGGGCATGTAGAAATAGTTACCGTAATAAATCCCAATCGTAGAGCTGCATAATCTGTTTTGGTGACTGATCCATAGAATTGCTTGCAGAAAGAATGCTTCAATAGAATTAAAGAACAAAATTAGGAAAAATAGACAAAAGATAATCGAATTTCAGGTAAAAGGGCCTTTGGCCTCCCAGAAGATCAGGGATTCAAGTTTATTTGTTGCATTTGCGGTATATAAATGTTATATACTTCAAAATGAAAGTCTCTTTTTGTTTTATTAAAATTGCAATGGTATCCAATCTGGATGTTCAGAAAAAAATGTGTGGTTCTCCTTTTACAAGTTACATATGTTTAAAGGATTTATTTATTTTGTCTGCATCGAGTAGATTTTAGACATTTGACAGATAAAACTTACATAAAATTATGTGTCTAATGAAGACCAAAATGTATCAAAATCATAAATGGCTCTAAATAACTCATTATGGCCTAAAGATAATGCCCAAACGACAATAATAACTTACCAGCCAACCTAAAATCGCCGAACGTTTGCCAAGACCCAAGAAGCGGTTCTTGATGAAATCATGATCTCTAACATGGGTGAATTCTGGTTCAAGATCTGCAAATCATCAACATCACCACAAAAGGAATGAGCTTCTGGTAGGAAAACAAGTAAAACAATGACATAAATCGTTTGCCTCTGGCGTGTAGCTCTGTTGGCAAAGTGGGCAAGGCGACTTTGTCCAAATACAAGACATCTGCAGTCGATCCCAGCCACCTAGCCTCAACTGCTGAGTGAGCCAAAAAAATGTCCCCTCACATTGATATCCTTTGAGGTGGGTTCTGTGTGAGGCCGGTCAGGGTTGCCGGTAATCAACTTTTGGCCTAAATATTCGTTTATATCATTTTCCTCCATTTTGTTCAAATAGGAACCACGATAAAGTTTTCATGTCTCTAAGACAATGTTAATAAGACGCCCGAAATAAAAATGTTAAATGAACTAAATGAAATGTACTGAGGTCAAAAAGGATAATCTCATGGTAGGTGATAGAGTTCTTATAGGGTGCATTTAGTACCCAGGCAGGAAAGGACGGGATGAGAAAGAGTGAGGTAGGCGGGTGAAAGGATTATGAAAGGTTTTAGGGTTTTAATTCGACATAGGTAGTTTAGTAATTTACCAATATCATCTCATCTCCTAATTTTGTTTCACCTATTTCGGTGTTTTTGTCCCACTCAGTCTTGTCGGGTCTTTAGTCTAATATTGCACCTAACGTGAGACAACAAGTTTTTATTTTGTTCTGTCTTGTCCCAACTCCCATCCAATGTACCTATTAGAGTCTCACACTAGCTAGACTTGGACCATTTCCTCTCTCTCTCTCTCTCTCTCTCTCTCTCTCTATATATATATATATATATATATATATATACACACACAACTATACAAGTTGGAACCTCCCTCTCTCATCAAGGGCTCTATTGGAGAATAAATTTAGGGTTTCACATATTCTCACATAGTATCATAGTCAAGGTCTAACACTCTAGGGACTCAATGCTCTAAGCCAATTTATACTCGTCTAGCCCCCTCATCCATCTTGCCGCTTCTCGACACTCCTTTGTGCCTATCTAGCCTCCATTAGGGGGGTGTTAGAGTCCCACATCAGTGTTTGGGACCATTTCTTATGTTGGAACCTCTCTTCTCTCCTCAAAAGCTCTTTTGGAGAGTAATCTATAGGGTTTCACATATTCCCACAGTACCAAACACACCCATAAAGCTGAAAACTTGGCTCCTAATTGTAGGTAGAACCCACAAAATGAATAATGACTAACGAATAATGGGGGAAAAATGATATAAACCGATATTTATAGATTGTAAAATTATAATAGTAATAAACCAAACCAAATAAAACTAACTCACTGTATCTCACTCGAAAGTTTGACATGATGTCTACTCTAAAGAGTAGTAATCTACTTCAAATTACCTTTTGAAGGGTCAAAATTATTTTCTCTGATAGACGTTTCCCAATGCTTCCATCGGCTGATCTATCGTGAAAGCGATTTAGTAAAGAAACCATTGTATGCAAGCAATAAAAAAACACAACCAGACCGTTTATTAACCTTCATGCCTCCAAATACAACGGTGAGAACAGAAAAGGTTAGGTGCACGATAGCTAGTATGAAAATAAAGATGTGTAGATGATGCAGCGCCTCGTATGATAACAATGGGACCTTGTTCTGTTGGAGGAAGAACGTAAAGAAAAAACAAAAAAAAAACGTTAAAACTTGATTTGATGTTTCTTGAATCGTTTCGAATCAAAAACCAAATGCATAGCAGTTCTAGTTGCTGGCTTTTTTTGATAAACATAATATATGGCAAAACTCACACATGCCCTTCATCTTTGGTGAGACTCAAACCCTTGACCTCCAAGAAGGTCGGGATCTACCATGTAATCCAAATGGGTTGCTAGCCCTTTGGCTAGACTGATTACCTTGAGAGCACAATAACCCACTGATGTTTCTTTGTCTTCGAGCAAATTGCGAAGAGTAGGTGACTTAGGATCTGTCGAGTCTTGTTTTACGTTTAACGAGCAAGGAAGAAAGTGTTCCATAGTATTCTCGTTCACACAAATCTTGATGATTCTAGCTTGGCAAACAGATAAGAGTAGTGAAACGAACCCCAACAACATCAACTCTGCATCAAAACAGTAAAGTTAACCAAGTGCTGCTAAAAAGAGTTCATTGCGAGCTATTTGGTTGGTTTCCCATAGTACTGTGTGGATAAAGTTGTCTATATAGATTGGGAAGGTTTTTGTTTGGGACGGTTTTTTCATAGATGGAATGAGTGAGTTGTTTTAATTAGGAGGGATGGGCATGGAGAGAACTTCGCTTTCTGCATAAAGCTCCCCCTAGAAGCTTATTGAATAAGCACTTTCTATATCATTAAAAGTCACTACCGAACAGTCATGTATAGCCTGTCAGTCCCATTAAGCTCGTTAAGTTGCTAATAAATAAGCCCATGGATATGTGAAACCCCTGAATTTCTTCCTAAAAAGACTTTATCCATATATGTATATATAAAGGTTCGATGGTCTTTATCCATATCCATTTGACATACCAAACATGCCCTCAGTACTAATATCATGCCGAATATGCAGAAGACCATTTCTCTCTAAAAAGCTTTTGGGAGGAAAAGGAGGTTTCTATGGATATTTTGACACAATGTTTGACTTTCAAAAAGAAGAATACCTTCCTTGACCTTTTGCAGAGCTTCAAAGAGCGGCTTTTTGCCTTCCTTTTGCAATTTCTGGACACAAGGATTCATTATAGATACTAAATTTTACACAAATTTTAGATGAAACTGCACCAATTTTAAAGTTATAGACGAACCTTGCCGACGTGGTGTAGTAGCCGTTCGACGGCGAGGGAGACGCCGACGATGACGGTACAGACGGCGGCTACAACCCATGTCGGTGTAAACTCTAACGACGTTCCTTCTCCTTCGTCGCCCGCCATGATTTAGGTCGATCTACACTGGAATTGCAGATTTAAACACGATCGGAACTGTTTTCTCTAATCGGTACCCCATTGTCGGTTGATTTTTCACCAAAATCCAGAGATCATGGCTGCTAGGGTGAAAAGACGTTCGATCGATACGCAGAATGGAAACTTGATTGCAACGAAACAACAACGATTATAGTGAAATGAGAAGATAAACAGATCATTGCAGGAGATGGTAGGAAATAGGAGCTCTCATGCAAGCCGATAAAACTCAGGTAGGTAAATGGCTAGATACTCCGGCGAAACGTTGCCGTCCGACGGTGGGGAAAATCTCGTTCCGTTTTTGTCTTTTCTTAACCACCATACTCTGTTTCAACTTCTTTTATTTGTTTATGGGTAAATTATATGTTTGGTCCCTTTACTTTATAGTTTTCAAAGTTTTGGTCCCTAAACTGAAATTGTTATAGGAAACATCACTGTGGTTTGCATTTTGTTATGGAATTAGGTTAGTTGGTCCCTAACCTTAACTCCGTTATAAAAATTCTGTTGAGTAGGGATATTTTGGTCATTTTATATTTTTTCACTTTTTGTTAAAAGAAAATAATTTTTTTTATATTTATACTATATATACACAAAACACTGTTCTCGTTACCACAATTCTCGTCATATTCGGTCTCCACCTCCATCTCCATCTCCATCGTCAATCTATGTTCTCTTCACGTTCTCCATCTCTATTCGTGAACCATTTCTTCCCTTCTTCCCAAATCAAAAATCGACAAGCCCAAATTTCAGAAGCATTTCGAAACAATCTTCACTGATACCAGATTAGAAGCAACTGGACGAATACTTAGGCGCAGGGCTCGTTCTATCAATCCTCGAAGATCATAAGAGACCAAATCCATAATAATTGCATTGAACTTCAAATTTGATAATAGTAGAAAGGGTTAGAAGGGTAAAATGGTAATTTACATCATTCAAACTGTTCATTCAACATATAAAACAAACAACAATTGCTCTTTAACAGGATAAATGATTTTTACAAGGAACTCCTAATGATCTATATATCGAAGAAACTAGTTTTAAACAAGTTTTTCGATTGTGTGACCGCTCATTGGACATCCGAGTTCATAGAAGATCACGTGAGCCATCAAACAAGCACCGCGAGCAACAATCGATCATAGAAACACGATTGATCTTCATAAACGACGTTATCTCTTAAGACTCTGGCGATTTGAACACATGTTCTTTGTAGTATTTGAGCTCTGCTATGCTTTCTCTGATATCATCCATGGCCCTATGCTTCTTCTCCTTTTTAGGAGCATTCTTCTTATCTACAAGTGAAAAGTAATCAGATCAAAATTCAGTAAATTAAACGGTCTGAATAACAAAAAAGACGAAGCAAAATGCTGATATTTCACCCTTTAGTGCATTCATTTAGAAAATTTCTTCATTATCTCGTCTAGGAATGTTCATCGTTCACATCCAACGGATCAGAGAAGCAGGTCGAATCCAATCATTTATTGGATCTTGAATTTTGACAGTCTATTCAATCCAATTAACTTTGGACAATTGATTAATTGTCCAAAGATAATTGGATTGGGTTGGTTCTGTTTATTGGAACTTACTCGCAGATTGGATCCGTCCAATATTTTGACCAATTATCCATACATTTTACTTAAAAACACCACTGATAAATAAATATTCATACAAATTGAAAGAACAACATAATTCATAAGCACAAGATTGTATGAAGAAAAAAAAACAAGTCTCATACACCAAAATACCAAATACAAATATCACATAAATCAAATCCTTCATCCTTGATACTTGGATGGTAATTTGATTTAACCGGTTCGGTTTTATTGGATTTTGAACTATCATCCAACAACCGATTGATCTGATTTGAAGATCGAAATTTTGGATATCCGCTACAATTGGATGCCCGATTTTGATTTTTATCAGTTGATCATATTTGGATCGGATGATTTTCTTCGCATTCCTAATCTTATCTATCTTTTGTGCGTTCCAACTCCAGAGGGAGGTTCAAACAAGAACAAAATTCAAATAAGAAAACGCGAAAACGGGTAAATCACATGTGATTTTACACTGAAATCACATTCAATTAAGGAACATGGTTGCTCACAAGGGTTGTGTGCGCAACTTGGCCCACGACCTAGAGGTAGAGCGAATCACATGTGATTTTACACGTGATTTTAGTGTAAAATCACATGAGATTTGGCCGTTCACATGTTTTCGTATTTGGTTACAGTTCTCGTTTGAACCCGTCCCTCCAACTCCATTCATTCGAACCCAAAATGAAATGGATTACATTTAACTCTTCCATTCCAAAATAAATGTCCACAATGACAAATGCACACGGTTTTATAAATGTGTAACTATTACACTTTTGAATCGACTAAATGAAAATTTTACCCTTAATGCTAGCGGGAGTAATTAATTTCTCCATCTCATAATTAAGGATAGAATTGGAAAGTGGACACTTCTTTTGGGACAAACTAAAATAGAAATGTGGATACTGATTTTGGTGCGGAGGCAATAACAAGCTATGGTGAAACGTTCACACAAAGAAAGCTTTGATATTACCTTTCGGGAACCAGAGCCGACATAAAGCCTTGACACTGCTGACATCAACCACAACATGCGAGAAAAGACTCGCCAAATCCGGCATGTACTTCTGCAATAACAAAAACCATAGCAGATTATGATAATTGCAAGAAAACAATCTGAACAATGGATTTTATATTGTGTTTTAACATAATAAGCAAGAGTAAACAAAATTATTGATGTCTTTAACTTTTTTCGTTCTATATGCGATCTGGCTAATAAGAAGGTGGTGTTGAACAGATATAGAAGAGAAATGGTCCAAGTCAATGTTATGCCCCCGTACTTGGGGTCGAGTAATGGGTCGTCGTAACGTGAAATCTTGATCAACCCTACTGGGTGACTGCTGCAATTTCCCCTTCTTTCCACCTATTATGAATGTGTAACGGTTGAGAGCTCGATTGATGAGAGAACTCCCTAATCTCAGTAACAAGTTTCTGAGTGAAAATATTCTTCTCCCTTTTCATTCAACAACTAGACTATAAATACAAATACAAGGATGCAAAGAGAAATACTAGGAATTATAAACGTGGACTTAGGGGCTGTTTACCCAAATGCTTATCCGGTAAGTGCTTACCTATAGGAATAGGAGTCAACACTACAATTTACCTTGATGCGTAAGATTTAAGTACATGCTAAAAAGCAATAATGCTGAAAATGCAATAACAACTCCTAAATTCTGGCATCAACTCCCTCCATTACAAAGGTTTCTCGAACTTGCCATATGTTCATCTCTGATAAGTTTGCAGCTGAGGTGTCGACCTCCCAAGAGTCTAGCCGATGTGGGACTCTAACTCGCCCCCTCAAACGAAGGCTAGAACGGTACAAATTATCCCAAAGTGTTGAGAGGGGGCTAGACAAGTACAGATTGCCCTAGAGTGTCGAATCACTAGATTGGTAGACCTTGGCTTTGATACCATGTGAGAATATGTAGAACCCCATATTTACTCTCCAAAAGATTCCTCAAGGTGAGAAGGTTCCAACGTATACAGAGAAGATTTGGTCCAAGTCTAGCATCTATGGGATGCTAACAATAATAAATGGAGTAATCAATTTCTCCATCTCATAATTAAGGGTAGAATTGGAAAGTAAACACTTACTTCGTGATAAGCTAAAATAGAAATGTGGAGACTTATTTGGAACAGACTAAAACTAAAAATCTGGACACTTAACTTGGGGAGTAGAGAGTACAATGCATACACTTGACGGGGACCAACTTTTCGTTACCTTCAAGAACATAAAATCGATGTAGATCGAATTTCCCGCAAGCAACGGAGTATATGCACTAACATGCCTCTTCACAAAATCTATCACCTACATAAACACAATCATCTTATGTTGAATTGTTGATTAATATATGAACCACAAAGCCAAAAAGAAAAAGAAAAAAAAACAAACCAAAGCAAACAAACCCAGTAAATCTCAACCAGATATAGATGTAGAGGTCTGGGGAGGATACGATGTACGGAAACCTTACCTCTACTTGCAGAAAGGATGTACATAAATATACATGAATATCATCATGAATATGATTTCTTGTATTCAGATTTATTTTTAATAATAAAAAGTATTTATTGAAGCCCTTTTCCATATTTATCGAGGACCCTTTTTAACATGCACGGCCCGGACCTACAAAATGTCAGGTTCGGGCCCGAACTTATGTACCATTGTTAAAGGTAAGGATTTGTAATGTTCAAAGAATATGCTTGGTATGCTTGAAATGTGTTAAGAGGATGAAAAAAACCATGAACAAGCTTTAGATTACCTGCTCTTCAGCTTCTTTTTCGCTGACGGTGCTTTGTATCACCTTCTCAGTCAACCCTATTATAAATTGTTGACATATTGGGCCTGAATTGTTTTTTGGTTTCTTGAACTATAACAAATTAACGGAAAGGCTATAGAGACAATTCTCTATGGGTGAGTTTGGTACCACAACTGTTCAATGTTTGGTAAGACGGGACTGAACAAGACCAGTAAAATGACCAATTTACCCCTAATGAGTTGTTTATATTTTTTCTATATTTTGATTAATTTATTAAATTATAATAAAAATAAATATTTTTTATAACGAAATATATCATTAGAAAGTTTTCGTCAAGACAATTAAAATGACACCAAAATATGAAGTTTATATAATTTCCAAATTTTATTTTATACCATTTCTATATTATTTTATTATTATTAATATTTAATAAATTACATAATCAACCAAAATATAGGAAACGTATAAAGTAACATTTTGAGAACAACAAAGTGAAAGTTTAAAGAGGATATACAATATATAAAACTTAAAGAATGGATAAATTGCCAGGAGGGAGGCGTATTTGATGTTTTAGAAAAGAATTAGGTTTTATGATAAGGTATATTGGTAAAATATAGGCTTGTACCACCTTGTTCCAACGGGTGGGGGTGGAACACACGTGTTCACGTCTGTCCCCCATAAAAGTCATGCCAAACGTGGAACAATGATCCCTATTCTATTATGTCTTGTTCAGTGTACCAAATGCACCCTATATGTCTTCCAGTACAGCGACGTTGATAATTGAACGAAATACAATGCATGAGTTAGAGGCTACTTACCACTAGCGGCATGATGATCTTGGCACCATTCTCCCATTTTATCCAGACAATCTTTTGGTTGATGAATGACTAAATCAGGACCCTACAGAAAAAGGTAGTTTTAGTTCCTTTAACACTAAAGAGTAATCGCAATTATCAAAAATGAAACCTTAATGCCCAGCTCAACTGGCAAATAAAGGTTAGGCATTGGGGCTCCTCCCCATAGGTCGCTTGGTTGAGTCTCCTTACTCCTTAGGGCCACCGGAGATTATCCTAAGGGGGTGTTTGGTTTGATAGAATGGTTTTGAGGGATTTGGAATTGGAAGGATTTGGAATCTTTGGTGTGTTTGGTTTGTAGAATTTGGAATGGAACTGAATTCATTCTTTATAAATAATTTATAAAACAAATTATAAATAATTATAAAAATAATTAAATTACCTTTTAATTAATTATTTTTTCCAAAACAAATACTTTTAACATATTTTACAACAGTATTATATACAAATCCTACGAAATCCAGTGAAATACCAACCACCCCTGGGATTTCAAACTCCTATGTTTGTGGGATTTCAAATCCAAAAAATCCTTCAATCCAAACATGGAATTGGAATGGAATTCAATTCCATGTCCCTCCAAATCCAATCTAACCCTACAAACCAAACGGGACCTAATTGTTGTCCTTAGGGCCCACAGGATTAGTCGAGGTGCACACAAGTTGGTCTGGACACCCACAGTTATCAACCAAAGCTAGATTATCAAAAAGAAAGCGACAAACTACCAACGTACCTCTACGGATTTCCTCAATTTCCCATCTGTAATCACGCAAGCAATCTCCAATATTCTATCTACTTGAACATTCAAGCCTGCAGATATGCAATGATCTTGGCTATCACAGGGCACAAGCCATAACTACCACTCAATGTTACAAATAGCAATTCGATGCAGATAAATACTTGAAGTAGAAGTCATGCAAAGAAATTTACTAGCAAGCAAGATTGGATAATGTAACTAACTAATCTTCATACAGTATGTGAACATCAGAGTCAACCAAAAGTTACAGTTAAAAATCATATTTTCTGAAACAGTAGAACAGATACAGGATGTGTGATACCACCGAAGAACATATATCAGTCTTTCTTTTAAACTGACACACAAGATTTATATAAATACTCCAAAAACACATTTCATGCCTCCATATCTACGATAAAAAGCCTAAATCGTAATTGAATACCCACCGGTCATTTTTAAGTCAATCCACACGAGGGGCAACCTGTAATTGTCGCTTTCATTCCATTTCATGTAATCAAGACTGTCATTTTCTTCTTTGGCTTTCCCTGTATCACCAAATGAATGAAAAGGGGGATTAAAATGGTAATTTTCTTTCCAAATTATTTTTCAGAACACTTGTCAAACAGGTCATATTTCATTTAGGACTAAATTATATAGGGGGTTAAAATGGTAATGTTCTGTCATTCAGACTGTTTATTCAAAACCCTTACCAAACCCGTCAGTAACCATTCTCCACTAAATTATACACATCCTCTTAATTTCTGCACCAAATCATTTTGTATCTACCAAACAGCCTCTAAGTACCGTACCACCTTGCTTTCCAACAAAAGGTCCAGGCAATGAAAAGGTACAATGTTAGGGGTGTTCTCGGAGATATGCAAATGAAAAATTAGATTCTTGAAGAGCAATTACAGTATGGAACCCGGACCATGTAGTACTTGGTCTTGACAGTTAGGTGCTTTAGGTACGTCGATAGGACCGTACAGGACTGGACTTGTGAGAGTGAGGTAGGCGGGTGAGAGAATCATGGAAGGTTTTAGGAATTTAATTTGACATAGGTAGGTAAGTAATTTATCAATTTTGTCCCGTCTTCATGATTTTGTTCCACTTATTTTGGTCCGACAAAAGAATGCATTTTTGTCCTATTCAATCTTGTCCTGCCCCAGTCAAATCACAAATGCCACGCCAAACAGGGCGGATCCACCTTGTAAAGGGTGGGGTCAACTGACTCCGGTCAACCCTTTTAAAATATTTACCTTTCAAAAAAATTTACCCCACACCCTTTTTAAGTTTTAACTTCTTTTACCCCACTTGTGTTACGAACGAATACGTGACAAATTGTTTTCAAAAGAAAAATTGTACAGAACAGTTGTAGAAAGCAAGTTGTTTCTCACTTTTATACTTTTTTATTTAACTTCTATTATATTTTATATTATGTTAATTAAAGTCTGACCTAATGGCCAAAATTCCTAGATCTATCACCGACACCAAACGTTGGAGAACAAGTTCTTGTTCTATATTTTGTCCTGTCCCGCATACCAAAACACACCCTTATTAGTTATTAGTACTTTAGTAATTTACTCGCTCCGTCCCAAAATAAATGTCCACAAATAAAATTGCGTCCCAAAAAAGATGTCAACAATTAAAAATGCACACAATTTTAGGAATGTATAATTATTACATGTTTTAATCAACTAAATTTTACTCCTAGTAATAAAGAAAGAAACTTTTCCCCATCGCATAATTAAGGGTAGAATGGGGAAGTAGACATTTACTTTAAAAAGTGGACAATTATGTTGGGACAAACTAAAATAGAAACGTGGACACTTATTTTGGGACGGAGGGAGTATTTTATAAGAAAAGGATAAATAAAATTTATGTGATTTAAGAAAAAGATTTACAACAAGCATAGATCTTCAGCTAACGGTTCAAACATGTACCATTGGTTTCCTCTGTACTATTAGCGGCACTTGCCACTTGCTGATTATCATCCTCGACATCTAATTCCAGCAAAGAAAATGCATTTGGGAGCTCGTTCATATCTGATTAACAAGTCTTTGCACTTTGTCAATCATTCAGATCCTGTGACAAAAAACCGAGTAAATTGCCTACAGAATGTATTGACAACAACCAAAGGGTAATTGGTCTAGCGGCACCCGGGTTACTGGTAGATCTCAACCTCCCTGAGGTCAACAATTCAAGCCTCCCTAAAGTCAAGGGTTCAAGCCTTACCAAAGATGAGAGGTGTGTGTGAGTTTTGCTGTATATAAATAGTATATACTTCAAATTGCAAACCTCCTAATTTATATAAACCAATCTCAACCGTCCATCCAGGCTAATGAATATTTGTTTCCATAAATATCTCAATTGTTTCCTAATCCAAAGTATTGATCATAATGAATGAACTTCAATCATCGTTCCATAAATATCTTGATCATAATAAATGAATCATCATCATTTTCCATATATATCTCAATTGTTTGTTTTGTATGACTCGGAGGTTTGCAAATGATATGGAACTATATATAGAGGGAGGGGGGAGGTTCAGGGAAAACCCCAAAAAATGAAAAATTGAGGAACACCAACCGTTCATCTATGTAATATGCACATGTATATACAAGTAATTGAAGTTGTTTCTTGGTTTCTATGAACGTGTGCAGTTATGCACATGTGCATACTGGACAAATACCAGGGTGTGCCTCAGTTTGTCATTTTTTGTGGTTTTCCCTGAACTTGACCCTATATACATATATAGACAAAGGTCATGTGAGAATAAAAGTTAACTTGAGAAGCATAAGAAGAGATCTGGACCCTTGATAACTTTTAATCTCACCCCCACCCCATGAGTTATGCTTATCATGGGAATTGATGTGGTGCATCTTGGTGCAACGCCTCAGTGTTGATCTTCAATTATGATTGATCCAAAGGTAGAGATTTCTTCTTACCTTTCTCACCATAACTTCCATACTCACGGGAACCCAACCTTTTATGTAGACGAAGGATCGTGTGAGAATAGGAGTTAAGGTAAGAAATGTAAGAAGGGATTTGGACCCTTGATCAATGTTAACCTCACCCCACCCCATGGATTGCGCTTATCACAGGAATTGGTCTGGTGCATCTCGCTGCAACGCATTAGTGTTGATCTTCAATTAGGATTGATCCAAAGGTGGAGATCTCTTCTTACCTTTCTAGCCGTAACTTCCATTCTCACCCGAACCCAACCCTATATATAGGGTCAGGCTCAGGGGAAAACTGTGAAAAAAATGAAAAATTGAAGAACACCTTGTTAACCGTTCATCTGGACAGTGTGCACATGTGCATACAAGTAATTTGTGAGCAACTTGTCCACTATGCACACGTGCATAAAAACCAAGAAACAGTCTCAATTACTTTTATGCACATGTGCATACCGTTCAGATGAATGGTTACTAGGGCGTTCCTCAGTTTTTCATTTTTTTGGGCTTTTCCCCAGGACCTCCCTCTCTCTCTCTCTCTATATATATATATATACACACACACACACACACATGCTGACAACATAATGAGCCAAATAAGACCCAAAATCATATTTTTACGTATATTCTCAACTCTTCACTAACCTCTTTGGAAACCGTAAAACTATCAAGCATCACTATAATCATATCTTTATCTATGCTTCAAGTAGAATTAGATAAATGTAAATATGGTCTCAATAATCTAAAATAGTTACCATCACAACTCATATTCCCACCAGCCCATAATTTGAGTCGAACTTTAACATTGCAAATGTGAGTCTAATCTTTTTCTTATATTGATAGTTTTAGTTTAGCTAAAAATATGATCTATAGTGGTACCCTTTTGTAGACTAATGCAAGTATGCAACTATCGTATTACCAAAATACATTAAAAAAAATTTAGAAATTCCAATGCAAATTTTAAAATTAGATTGTTTTATACAGACTCTTGTAGTTTTGTGACTAATAAAGGGAAAATCACAAAAGTACCCGTCACAAAATGACCAATCTTTTTTTCCAAATTAGCACAAAATAACCACCTATTTCGTAAAAACAATTACGAACACCTTTTTCAAATGTTTTTCGATGTTCGTGAACCCAGTGCGCAAAAAAGATGAGCAGTCTTTTATGCGAAATTATAGGTTTTGTGAAGCGGGCTCACAAACTGAATAAAATATGTCAAATAGTAACATTTTGCAAAAAAAAAAAAAAAGGTAGGGTTCTGAGCGAATGGTTGATTACCGGCAACCCCGACCATCCCCAGTCCCCACATGGAACCTGTCCCCTAGGAACCACATGTGAGAAGGCATTTCACAGCTTACTCAACGGGTGAGGCTAGCGGAGGGGTTCAGGCCCGTCTCCCGCAGGATTCAAACTTGAAGTTGTTGTGTATTTGAGCAAAGTCGCTCCGCCCCTTTGACAGTTGAGTTGCACGTCCGAGGACACAAAGAAGTGGGTTTCTTGTTCATGTTTTTGTAAATAGATGGTCATTTTGTATTAATTTGGAAAAAAAAAGAACTTATTATTTGCTCATTTATGATGGATAAACTTCGTTTTGGTTATTTTTGTGATTATTCCTGAAATTATAAAGGGTAGGCTAAAGGAACCCCCTAGTTGCTAAATAAACATCTCCATGAATTCCACTTTTAACACATGTTTAGATCAAACCCCTTTATCCATTTGCAAGGTATTGATTTGTTCTTGAGGGGGTTGTATGGCAACACCAGCTAGTTTTCTTTTCATGGCTATCAAAATACCAAGTCATTTGGGTGTGATCATATCAGCACTAATGCACCGGATCCCATAAAACTTTGTGGATAAAATACCGAGTCATTTAGATATATAATTTAAATGAGATTTTGTTAATCCTGACCTATTAAAATAAAAAATGGCTTTATAGTCATGAATTTAATTGAAATCTCATTTAAGGTTATATACCTAAGTATCTCCAAAATACTCCTTGTTGTTCGAAGTTAAAAGGTAATCCATTCAGCAATCAGATGGCACAATTGAACTCAAATTTTCGGACCAATGGATATTCTTCACGTTTTAACCCCTATCAAGACTTTACCCTGTAGTTCTCATCAAAAGCAAATGGAAATAATACTGAAAACAGCGAATATTGTAACTAGCAATCATTCAAATTTAAGTACTGATCATCGTCTACAATTATTCCTAGGGTTTAGTTTATCATTTCGAAACAAAAACCCCAAACCGCAAGCAGTTTTACTGAATTCTTTATCATTATATATGCAAATATAAACATATATATATATATATATAGAGAGAGAGAGAGAGAGAGATGTACCTTCAGAAAGGAATTGGGAGGGAAATTAGGGAAGAAGATGATCGTTGTTTCACAGTTTGCAAATAGTCATCAAACTTTCAAGTGGAGTAGTACTAAATACTAATTTTGGATTTTATATTTATATTTTGACAAAAATTTAAAAAAAAATCATGCATCAAGTGCTCTTAATTGACTGATATTATTTAAAATTTAAAATTGTAAATAAATTATGTATAAGTAAAATTTATTAAAGCTTTATATTTGAATTAGTGTAACTAATTATAAATAAACGTAGTCAAATGCAAAATAGACATTTCATTTTAGATTTAACAAATCTAAAATATAATTAAAATAATTATTGAGTTCTAACATAATACTTAATTATTATTTTTATAAAAATTATATTATTAATAAAAATAAACTATTTCGTTATTAAATTTAAATTCAATTATAATAAAAATTTGTATTAAATAAATTACACAAAAAACAAGAATTTTTAAATACTTAATTTGATACTAATATTGATTTATATTTATTTTCGAAATTTTATGATATCTTCAAATTTATATTTTATTCAAAAAAAAAAACATTATTCATATCTCAAAACCACAAAAACCATATTAAAACATTTATTATGACGGAATAAAACGAACCATCAAAATCGAGGTATATCTCGCTGTATTGCGAGAGTACCTTTCTAGTTTAAATAAATATAAATCTGATTTTATTAAGGAAATATCTTTTTATCATTTAAAAAAGTGTCAATAAATTTAATAACTTAAAATATGAAAATTCATTGGTTTTTTTCATTTCAATAAGTTTAAAATTTATTTGTTATATAATTGTAAAGTTAAATTTTATCATATCCAATACATTCTAGAAAAAATAAAATAATAACTAAATCTCATTTATATGAAATATTAAAAATTACATTTTTCTTCCATGGTTAAGGAGTTTTAAAATAATTTCATATATTTGGTGTTCTCCATATGTTTCTCTCTCTTGTCTCGTGTTGTCTTATCTTGTTCTAGTTTTTATCTGTGTCCCATGTCACATTAAACGTGGGACAATGAGTTATTGTGTTCGTCCCATACTGTGCCAAACATGAGACAGTGAATTTTGTCTCGTACCGTCATGTCATGTTTCATGTACCAAATGCAGTTTTAGAGAACAATATAGAAAATCGGTTAAAACAACACATATAACAAAAACCTTGTTTTCTTTAATTTAGAAAATTTGTTGAATATGCTTTTAAGCGTTTAAAGTTATCAGTAAAAAAAAAAAACCTTTAAAGCATCTCCAAAAGTTATGTTGGAATAGATAAAAGAAGACAGATAAGGTGTAAGTATTTAAAAAGTAGAGAAGTGATCCCGGTCGTTCATATGGTCAAGATTTACAGCTTTGAATGTGAAAACACCGTATAATCTATCGCATGGTATGCGAAATATAGAGGGATGGTTCGTAACTTTTACAATTAGGCGGAAAAAAAGTGCATATGTGAACTCATGTAATTCACATATGAACTATTTAACTATTTAATATATGAGCAATTTAGCTTATTCACATATGACCTATGGTTTACATATGCATTTATTTGCCGCCTATTTATAAAGTAACAAAACTACCCCTCTGTTTTTTGTTTGACCAGTCAAAGTCATAATTCTTGACCAATCTTGACAGTATGAAGGGGCTAAGATAAAAAAAAATTTCTTCTCAAATACTTATCACCTCTCAAATGACTCCCCCTCTATCTCTATCTCTCCATATATATTACATTGTACAATGATTATCGTATGTGAGAAATAGTTAAGATGAAAAACGTAAGAAATGATATGAACCATTGATCATCTTTGATCTCAAATTCACCCATGGATCGCGCTTGATATGAAAATTGATTAGGTGCATCTCAATTCATTTCATATTGGTGCATTTCATCATAATATGCATCCAAGTGTGAAGATCCCTTGTTACGTTTCTCAACAAAACCCAACCCTAGATTGTATTGCATAGATACACATTTATCCCTGAAATTGCACAATACGACGAGATACATTTTGATTTTGATGTTTTATTTTATTATTTGTCTTCGTCGATGTTATAATACAGTTTTATGTGGCTTTGAAAAAACAATAATATTTTTCTTTTTAAATAGAAAATATAAAATTTAAAATATCATAAAAATTTGAAAAAATATATATTGAAGTTATTATCAAATTAACTATTTAAAAGTTATCGTTCTTTTGTACAATTTATTTAATTCAATATTTTATTATAATTTAATTTAGGATTAATAATAATAATTTATTTTTAGTTTAATAATATAATTTTTTATAAATATAATAATAAAGTATCATGTAAAAAACTCAATAATTATACTTATTATATTTTGAATTTTTTTATCTTTAAGATTAGATGTTTATCTTGTATATAATTATGTTTATTTACAGTTAGTTACACAAATTCGAACTTAAAGTTTTAATAAGTTGTACTTACATACAATTTACTTATAATATTGAATTTTAAGTAATATGTATCGATAAACAATATTTCATATATTTATCTATATAGAAAGTTTTTAAGAGTTTTTATCAAATATTTTTATAATATAATATAATATAAAACTAAACAGTCTATTTTATTTTAACTTAGCAGTCTATCAAACACCCTTTAATTTTATTATTATTATTTTATATTATGGGGTTTAGGAGGTGTTTAGGATTGCTTATAAAAAGACTTATTCTGGCATATTGGTAATAAATATTTTGTAGTTTTTTTTTTTTTTTTTGTTGCAATCTCAGACACCCTTATGGGTTGTAGGAAGCCGACTTTTTATAACGAAGCAGTACCAAGGGTTTTGTAAAGTTGTTGAAGGGGGGCGCTGCTCACAATCGTACTCCTTCCATTTACTTCATACAAATACCTTCTTCTTAAAACATCAATGGCCGCAATCACCAAATAAAGAAGAAGAAGTTTGTTTTACAAAGCATCTGCTCACTAGTATAGTAGTACTCCAATCCAACTGAAATCCATCCAAAAGCTACCTTGATAACAATGGCAACTCTCGTTCCTCCACCTACAACTCCTCCACCGGCGCCGGCGGCGGAAGCTGTCAAGCCAGAGAAAGTTGATTACATGGACTTACCATGCCCTATTCCTTACGAAGAAATCCACCGCGAGGCTATGAGTTAGCATCTCATTGATCTTCAACCTCATTCATTATATTTGTTTTTGTTTATAATTGATTGTAAATGCCTAAATGGTGCTGGTAGTTAACTGTATCTCTTGACGGCGTGGAATTGCTGGGTATCTGTGAAATCTCAGAATATTGTTAAACCCTAATTCTAAACCCTAGCCAGATCAAATCCTACTTTATTAAATGGAAACAGTTAATTTGCCAAACAAACATGCTTTATGGTTGATGTAGTCATGATTTTGGGACTTATATGCTGTGATCTACCGGTTTAGTATAAATGCTAACTAGTTAATTTGCATTTTCAAGAGGAAATGTTAACAGATTCAGAAGTCGCATAAAATGTAAATCATACAGCCTTTGAAAAGTTTGGTTATTATAATCAAAGTTATTGATGCATATTAATTGAAGATGAGGTTTGATTAAGAATAAAAATTTGCATAGAAGTAGATGAAGTTAAGAATACCTTTAATAAGGGTTGAAGATAACAAAATGACCAATTCCTGTGTTATGTCATATGTGGTTGGTCAACTTTTTTGATGTTTTGTCCCCTAATTGCGTTGTTTCCTGTATCGTGTTGGCACAAAGAGCGGTACATTTGTTTCTTTATCAATTTCATTGGCAGTATAAAAGCATAATTCAAGTTTGAACTTATATGTTAATAATCGCTTATATTGAACACACCTACTCTTCTGCAGTGTCCTTGAAGCCTGATCATTTTGAGGGTATGCGTGTTGATTTTACCAAGGGTCTTAATCAGAAGTTTTCACTAAGTCACAGGTAACCAGCTACACATTGGACTTGTTTTTAGTGAGTATGAATTTATATACCTTGTTGGTTTGATAACTATGTGGTTTCAACTTACCAGTATTGTTATGGGACCTATGGAAGTTCCTTCTCAATCTGCTGAAACGATTAAAATTCCTACTGCAAACTATGAGTTTGGTGCGAACTTTATAGACCCAAAGGTAGGTAATTTACTGCTCTTGTAATCAATTTTTTTGTTTATAACCATCAGTCTCACTTTGATAATGGTGTTTGGTGTCCGAAAGTTGATGCTTTTTGGAAGGGTCTATACTGATGGGCGGCTAAGTGCTCGAGTGAAGTGCGACTTGTCTGAGAATCTTATTATGAAGGCCAATGCTCAGGTAGAAGAATGAATGATGTTATTGTTGATATGCATACCCACTAAGCAGCATCTGTTGTGCTGATTGTTAGATTTTTATCAAAAACATTTCATTAATCCCGTTTGGTATTTGTCATCAGCTTACAAACGAGCCTCACATGTCTCATGGAATGTTCAACTTTGACTATAAGGTAACTTATTCATCTTGTTTGGATCTCTATTGACGAGATGTTCAGAAATGTTGTATTTATGTAGTTCATGGCATTTATTCTTTGAATTAGAAGATTTTTGCACCTTCAAACACACTTTAGGTTGCAATATGCTAATTGATACGGGTGAAATCCTAGTGTCCTTCAGATTATTTTGGTGCAACTATTGATTTTCTTATGGTCAACCGTTTTTCTTGATGCAGGGTACGGATTATAGGACCCAGTTCCAACTAGGAAATGGTAACCTGCTTGGAGCTAGTTATATCCAGGTAAAGATCTGCCATCTCTTGTATATTGTGCAGACATATAATTAGCAATAAGTCGAGGTGCAAACTCTGCCCTTTCTTCTTTTACATCTGAAACTGCACTCTGTTTAGTCTTTCTCTAACAGCTGTGGGTGTCCGGGTCAGCTTGTGTGCACCTTGACTATTCATGGTCTTGAGGGTATTTGAACCTGTGACCTTTGGGAGCAAACCCGAGGGCCTTATCAGTTTCCCCAAAGGGTTGCTGTGTTCAATCTTGAGTACATAAAAAGTAAAGTTTAGGTGCGTACATGGAGAGACTCTCTGTTCATTAAAGCAGCTAGTGCCTCATGTACTTGTACTAAAAGGTGGGATCTTTGTTGGTGAGTCTGTGTAGCCGTTAGTTCCGATATGGCTATACCACTTTTCTTCATCTTGTGTAATATTAAGAATGGTTTTTTTGGTACCCTGAAATAAACCCTACAGTCTTGCAGATATTAGTTGATTGTTACATTGCCACCCAATCTCGATCAGTTGTAGTATACTTCACAACTAAATCCTACTATAAATAACTAGCTGGCCAACCCAAGTACTTTGGGAGAAAAGGGTTGATGTACAAATTACCAATATGATCCTTGTTTGTGTTTTTTTGTGACATGTTTATGCCATCTTAATCCTTAAGCATTCTTTTAGTATCATCATTTTTTTAATGGCTAAATATTCTGCTTGCAGAGTGTAACACCTCACCTCTCTTTGGGTGGGGAAGTATTCTGGACTGGTCAGCATCGGAAGTCTGGTATTGGCTATGCTGCACGATACAACACAGATAAAATGGTAATCTGCCTATCACTTGCATGTTTTGGACGTTCAACTTGTATGATAATGTCATTATCTTTTAATTTACATATGCTGTATATTATTTTTCCCAATCATGTGTGTAAGATATCTTTTTGGTTTGGAGATAGATTGAGTGGGTGTCCAAGTTTCCTTGGTTAATATTTTCCCCTTCTTTCTTGAGCTTTTATTTGCCAGAAAATATATATTTTTTGGTGATCAATGCAACAATATGTGAATATGAAATCGCTCCAGACTTCTCTAGCTTTTCATGCCTATTTTTCATTTTTTTTTCTTGAGACACTATTGAGAGATTTTGATTGTTGTAATATGGCCCATACGTTCAGAATGTGAAGCTACTTTGGTTCCTCAAGATTTTGGTGTTACCCCCATCGCTGTTTTATTTGTTTATATTTTTATTTCTGTTTCTTCCATCATGCCTATGGTGGGAACAAGAGATCTTGTCTGTGTTCTGGTTTCTTCACTTAGCCAAGGCTAAAACCGGGAACCATGACTCATTTTTCTCATACCTTGTAGGTTAAATTAAATTAAATCATCTGTCTTGTAGGTTGCTTCGGGACAAATTGCTAACACTGGAATGGTGGCTCTTAGCTATGTTCAGAAAGTGTCCGAAAAAGTAAGCAACTCAAACTTCTTGATTACTATCAGCTCTGGTTCATTGGAGACACCAGCTTATTGTATCATTGTTCTGTCTTTTGGCATAGGTTTCTCTGGCATCGGATCTTATGTACAATTACATGTCAAGAGATGTCACTGCTAGCTTTGGATATGATTATATACTCCGCCAGGTAATTCGATAAATCCTTCATTTTTTTGATATTTAATCTTAAACCACAAAATTTGAGTTCAAGGAGCTTTGTGCAACACTTCTGTAGTTTATACATGTCTCCATATACGTTATGTTTGGTAATGCATGCTCTAGCAACATATACAAGCTGGCGTGGTGCAGGGTTTTTATTTGTTTTTTCTCGGGTTGAGAGACTAGGTATAATGGGTTTTAGGGGTTGTTTGATTGGTTTTTCATTAAGTCCTATATGGATAAAGTTGTGTGTATGTGGACAGGGACGGACCCAGAATTTTTTTCAAACGGTGGCACCATATAATTAATATAGTATAATATACATCTAAAAATAATTACAAAAACTATGGTTTTTATAGTACCGATAGGGATG